CCCCAAAACCCCAAAACCCCAAAACCCCATAGAGATTCATAAAACACTAAGTAAAGATAAACAGTTAATTTAGCTTATAAATTCTAAATTTTAATGGCATAATTCACTAATGATCTAAGTCATTTTTTGAAATATCTCAAATAATCTATATAAAATCCAATATGAAGAATATAAGCAGGTATGAGAACAATGCCAAAAGCAATGGGAGTAATTACCAAAGCTATAATTGTAATCAGAAATCCTAATAGCAAGAACAATGCCCATTTATACTTTCTTTAGTTGAATTCATCACCATAAACACAAGAATGACTAAGTATGCAACCGAAAATTATTGGTGCGAATATCAAAACAATTGGCATAAAAATTAGGACTAAAATGAAATTGATAGTGGCCATTTATTTCGAAAGATACCTGCCATTCTTGCAGGCATAATAGTAAAAATCAGTCCAATCTGATTCTTTAGGATGTATTCTACTTTTTAAGTCTAAATTGCAAATGAGGCAAATTGTTGTTCCACATTATGAGCAATTTAAAAAATCGCAGTTACCTTGCAATACTTCTATATCAGTATTGCAAGTTGGGCATTATCTAATAATTTACTAGGCTTTCATGGCTCCATAAGTTTGCTTTTCATATTAAGCACAAGATTAATTATTATGCCAAGTAGACTTGCAATCAAAACACATGTGCTATTTGCACTATTCACATTTCTACTTCTTTTCATTAAGCTTATTTCTGAGAACTAAACCATTACAGTTTGGAGTAGGACAAAATCTTTTATTGCTTTATTACATCGTTATTTTCTATCTGAAAATGGAATGTCTTAGCTGTTTATATTCATGAAAGTTTAATATGGTTTTATAGTCAACATCCTATATTCTCTTGCCACAGTCATAAGTGGGGCATTCAAGTTTTGAAATCTTTTGATTTTAAAATGTGTTAAAGTTTATGTAGTATCTAATGCATAAACAACAAAATTAGTGACCACAATGAAGGGTCTAGAATAGGAGTGATGGCACAGTTTAGTAGCAAATAGAACATGTTTATGGCAAAGAGTTTTTCAATTTTTCAATGATTTCTTTATCAGATTAGTTTCGTGAATCAAAATGTTTTAAATTTCTTAATATGATTGCGTATTAAACTGCTGACGTTTTTCTATCTTAATTTTCATTAAATTATTACTAAATAGCATTTATTTGTCTTCTATTATTTAAGCTTTCCTAATCATCACCGAAAACCTTTTTTTAATGTTCTGGAAACAGCGTCTAGTGTTTTGTATACTTCTTATACTAAGCTATTTCACTAATATTTTTTGGCTTTTTTTAAAGGAAATTGTCTCTAAGAGAAATGCCAGGATTAACTCTCTATTTTTCATCTTCATCTGTTAGAATTTAGATTGGTATATCTATATTTTCAATATCTTCTAAAGTGTGTGCTTAATACTATCATCTTCTCTCATCTACGTCATGCTAAGGCTGAATGATGGGATCTCTAGTTCCAAACATTTCTCTTTATGTATCGTCTAAGTTCAGAAAGTAGTCATTGTTCTCATTTATTTTAGAAACTTCTGCTGCAAAATTGAACCTCGACAAATCCTAACTGTCATTCATAGCTGGCTGACTGTAAACATTTCGATCTATTAAACTAGATGGTTAGTGAGTCTTTTTGAAAAATTTCGAAAGTTAGTCTAGTTTCATTTAGATTATTATTTGATATTATGAATTAAAATGATTTCATCAAATATACGCTTTTTATCACATTTCGGGGTTTTGGGGTTTTGGGGTTTTGGGGTTTTGGGG